GCCGGGGCGGAGGAAGACGTCTCCACGCCCGGCTGCCCACCCAGCTGTCCTGGAGTCTCCGGAGCAAGTTGTTATTATTGTTTCCTCGAATCGGAATAGTCAGGTTTTATTTCAATCCTAAAAGTAATACCTGCATTTGTGAAAAGAAATCAAGCAATGTAGAAGGGCATGCAATAGTGAAATTCCTTGCAATAGTTCCTCCCAGAAATACCCACTTGGAACATTTTGGTTTAAGTCCTCCCAGGCTTCAGACCCTCATCTATTTATTTTTTTCCGTAATGTATATATAGCCTGCTCTTTCTCCCTACGAAATAATACATCTAGACATTTTGCCACATCCACAACGTGGACCACCGTCATTATCCTTAATGCCACCATCGTTTTCCCGTCGTACGGATGAGAGCGTATTTAGCCAGTCTGTTGATGGACGGCTGGCAGTTGTTTCTAAGTTTGTTTTGCTGTGCTGTGTATCTTTACTCACTTGTCCCATAATTTCCTCAAGAGAAATTAATGAAAGCGGAAATGCTGGGACAAAGAGAATGCACAGTTACTATTTTATAACGTTGCCGGGTTGCCCTCCGGAAAAGCCGTTCCAGTTTACAATCAAACCAGCCACTTTAACGTTTTTCACAGTGCGTAGTGATGGTTTCCCATCAGTGGGTGTTATCTTAGTTTCCCAGAGTTGCCCACCTCCTACCGTGGTCTCTTTGCTTCTCTAGCACAGGAAGTCCTTCCCCCTGGGAACTGGCTTAGCCATTTGGATCACAGGGTTGAGGGACCGGGAGACAGCCTTTCTCCTAGAGGGAGTGATGGCGCCTGCGGCCGGAGATTACCCTTGATGGAAGGCTGCACTTTAACACTCTTGCCTCCTGAGTGGGGGCAGGATCTGCCAGGTGTCTTCTCCCTGTAGCTTGGAGGGGTGTGTGTGTGTGGAAGGTGAACTGGAGTGGGAGGATGTGTCTAAATTACCCAGACTCTGCAGTGGCTTTATCTGTCCAGGTTATTTGCCTCTTGTAGACCAGTTTGCTCCAGTGATGGGGAAAGTGACCCAGTGTCATGGAAGCAGATTCTTGAA